TCGTTTTCCGCTCGATGAAAATTTCACGCCAACTCGCTGTCTTTGCTGGTACCTTGAGCGTTTCCCAGCGATGCGGAGATAAAAAAAAACATGTACGATGGCATCCTTTGCACACTCATTACTTCTATAACACTGAGCCACCTTGTATCCTTTTGTTTTTCTTTCATGGTACTAATTTCTTTCTGCGCATTACGGCTGTTACAACGCTAAGTCTGTCTGCCCTTCGAATTTGAACTTAGGCTCAGATCAGGGACGAACCAGTTTAAATCAGGAAAATATAATTAACACTGTAGCAAAGTAAATCTATCATATCGATCGGAAATACGATTTGGCACATTCCATCTGAACACATATTGTGCACAGCGAATGCAATAGCGAGTCAGCGTGCAAAACGCCGCCACACTGAGCTACCATAACATCTCAGCGACTTTTGCATAGCACCGAGCACGGAAAAGAGAAAACAGTTATTCATTCACATAAACGAAGCAAATTTATTTAAAGCCCGGACACTCCGTACGTCCAATCTAGCTAAGGTTATCAATAGACTAGACCATGTCATTTGTCGAAACAGATAAAAGACGTTGGCAAAAATGATTAGACTGAATAAGTGAATCTAACGCACGTATTTTACCACCCGACGGTCGCGCGCCTTCAATACCCTTTCCAATTGTCATTGCGCACCTTGGACACATTTTGGGGAGCAAAGCATATTTACATCGCCGCCCGAGGTCTCCATTGAACGTGTAGTGCTGACCCAAATAAAATGCTAACCTGACTCTCAATCGCTCACCGCAAAGGACGATTTCGAACAGGCGGTACTGTAGGTCACTTGAGATAAAAAAAAAAGAAAAACAAGCTATAGAAACGAGCGTCGTAAAAAAGGGGACCGGCATTTTTATTCCTACCTCCGAACAGAAACGAACGCCACCCACTGCATCACACAGCGCAGAGGCCGGACTCGGCCACCGCGCGTACATACCAAGCGCGCGCGAGGGAGGGAGAAACTTTCTCCGCCGGGAGAACCAGGCACATTTCGGGATCTATTTCACGCAGCGGAGAACGCGGGCCTTTTCACACCTCGATACTGGCGCCATCTAGAAGTTGCGCGTTCAACCACGTTTCGAGCCGCGCGCCATCTGGTGGCTGAAACAGACGAATAAATAGAGGTACCGCGCCCTCTTAAGTCCTTAGTAACAAACGCGTTGGGTAAATCATGCGCTCATTTTATGAGTAGTGCCGTGAAAGAACAGTGGAGGAGGCTAGAATCTGCAGGTTATGAAGAATTCATTAAAAGACAATTAGAACTGAAATTTAACAACGAACCACGGGAAAAGGAAGCAAGAAAGAAGATAGCAGTAATCCCGTATTTCCACGGGATTTCCCACAACCTAAAGGCTCTCGCATAAAAGTTTGGCGTGGACGTAGCGTTTTCTTCAGATTTAAAAATGAGCAGGTTGACGGCCTTTCTGTCGAACCACAAGGGCTGTCAGAAGGCCCATCGGGAACCTTCAGTTCCTTGCAAAGAAAGTGTAGTATATGAGATTCCGTTGACATGTGGATTTAAGTATGTGGGACAAACTTCAAGATGCCTCAACGACAGGTTACTAGAACACAAGAGAAATGTACACACGCATGCGCCGAACTCCGAAATAGCAAAGCACATAGAGGAATGCAATAATTGTAATGCGCATTGGTCAGAGACAGAAGTTCTGCATGAAGAGCGAAATGACATTAAGAGGGTCGTTAAAGAAACAATAAGAATAAGTTCTATTGGAAACTGCATAAGCCAAGCATCGATGCAACTTGGACGCAACTCCAAAAAGTTTCTCAGACTTTGAACGAACGCATTCGGTTTACGAGAAAAGGGGGGAGGAGAGACAATGTATATGTGTATATACATCTATAAAAAAATTTTTTTTTTTTTAATGTGTTTGTGATCACGGTTTTGAGATCACTCGGGTGTGTTTTCCCAAGGAAAAGAAAAAAAGAAAAAAAGGTGTTCTCTTTGTGGTCTCTTTATGTCTGGGTGCGTCGCCACGGTTTAAAGGCCACCTGTGTGTTTTTTTTTTTTTGTTTGTGTGTGCGTTTTGACGCGACTGTTAGGATAATTCGGGACATATCTCTCTCAAGGTCACTGCAATGATCCGCAGTGTCCCATTGTTAAGTCCTCGTCTCATGTGTGGGTTGTTTTGTATCTTTTGCGCGTGTTCCATCCGGTTCGAAATGTCTGCAACAAAGGAGTTTATCTGTAGAGCGTGGTTGGGAAAAAGTTCCGTGGGTACTTAAAGGCTGTTTGAGAAATAAACCAGTTAGCTGAGTTTGAGACGTTCTCTGTGTCTGTTCCTTCTACTGAAAGTTCTTCCGATTTCTTCCACAGCAGTCTCAGGTGTAATACGACATGATTAGCTACCACCACCTCGCCTGCACTCTCACCGTCTTTTCACTAAAAGTAAGCTGCTCAACATTCTAGAAACGTTTGTTGGCGAACATTCATATGCACAATGTTCTCGGAACGTTCCCCTTTGAACATTCATATGTGCAACATTCTTGGAACGTTCGCTTGCGAACATTCCTAGAATTTTCACAGGTGAAGCCAACTTTACGGAGCTTTCAAGCAACCTGTGTTTCGAAACACCATCCACTATATGTAGGGTGTGTACTTTCCGGTGTTTATTTGTGAGAAAAATCGGCGGATGTTTTTCGGTGTTTATTTATTTTCAAAACACCGGTGTATTTCGGTGGAACATCTCACGACGAGGCTAAAAACGGTGATTATCGGTGAAAAAAAGCGGTTGATCACAGACAAAGAGTTCCAATTTTATTCACATAGTTCGTACACTTCTTCTCTAGGAAGCAACTATTTCTCACATTTGGTTATTATAGTAGACTTTCATGCTTGCATCTACACGCAAGGAACGTGCTGCCGTCATGGCAGCACGTTGCTTGCGGTTCGCAACCCGCAATTATAAAAACGCACGCTCCTGTACGACACAGACGTTGGCAGTGTCTTCCAGGAACCACAGCAACCTCTGAATACATGGCTTCCACCAACATCACTTGGCCAGACACAATGAGGAAGAGACACGTGAGAGCCTACCCTCCACTGTGTTAATTTTTCCACAAAAGGGGGCCATGGGAGACACAATAGGGGAAAGGCGTATGAGAGCTTAGCTTCCACTGCGTTCACTAGACGCTTTTGACCCCCAGAAAGGAGGGCGGACTGGCGCCACCTGCAAGCCATGTATAAACACTGGAAGAATGCAGGATCCACGAGATAACACGTTTGACGAACCTCTACGGGGAAAGGGTTTCGCTAGGTCGGAAACTAGCAACGACCGGTGTTTTTCGGTTTTAACCAGGGCGAAAATATCCAACCACCGGTGTTTTTCGGTTTTGACCGATTTTATATTTTCGTCACCGACGGATGTTTATCGGTGTTTTTCGGTTAAAACCGGAAAATGCACACCCTAACTATATGCCACCTTGTGCCAAAAATATGCAAATTAAGTGGAGGTTTTTGAAACTTAGCATAAGGGATCAGTTTCATCTTAACGAGTCTACCGAGGAATGTGAGATAAGGTGTAGGAGAAAAGCAATGGTCTTCAAAATTTGATAATGAGCTTGGCACTCACTGCGTATGTAGAGGGACAGTTTTGAATAGACCCGATTTTCAGCATCTCAGATTCAATACCTTGAAGAAGGTATGTCCCGCTCGAGTGTGGGATGCCGTAGGTATCTGTTCTTATGCTCGAACTTCTGCAACATTCAGAGAATGTTGTAGAAGTTCTTTGGATGTACTGAGAACGTTGTTAGAACCTTGATGGGATATTTCAATGTTGATTGAATGACCTGGTAGTGTTCTATGTCATTTTCAGAACGTTCTAAGAATATCCCTTTGAAGACATTCCCCTAATGTAGCGATAAGTGCCTGCGCCACATTCTGACAACGTTGATAGAACGTTCTTATGTAAATCTTCAACATTCCAAGAATGTTGTCTATGTTGTTTTGAACATTCCAGGAATGTTCTCAGAACGTTCTAATGCTACGTGGGTCATTGTGATTTGTTCTTGCTGAGAAAATCAAATCTGGTGGTACAAAATGTGCACTGCAGTCTAATTCATATATTTGAGAGACAAATTATTCTTGCTTGGTGCATCGTCTTGAGGAACGGTGCGAGCAACTCACAAAAACGTGCTTTCTGGCAAGTGTGTTTCGGAAAACAAACTAGTTTCCGGGTCCACGCTTTCTGGTCTGTGCCAAAGATTTAAGGCAGAGAAACCTTTACAACCAAGTATGTTTATAGAACTACCCCCCCCCCCCCCTTTTTTTTTTTCGCCAGAGAATACTCTTTATTTTTTAAAGACTCCCTCCTCCGTTTGGGGGTGTTAATTTAAAGTTTAAACAAGATATGGAGGTGGTTGATGCAATATGTTCGGCAGTCCCTCTGAGGCCACTTAGATCTTGCTTTTTAAGTAACCCTCCTGTATACACTTGTAGTTCTAAGTAAAGTTGTATAAATAAACATGTTTTCGTTGTTGCTTTTCAGCAACAACGAAAACATCTTTGGGTGCCTCAATGTGGGTTGTGCAATAATGGTTGTACTTTCAGCAATTACCTCATGTTGGAAACTTGTAAAAAACACCCATTGGTTTCCTTTTCCACGCAATGACAGATACGGAAAAAATGAACAAAAAGCTTTCCCTCCTCAAATCGCAATTTTAGCACAAGCGGCCACATGATCTGACGTATTAAACATAGTCATGCACAAGCATAGAGCATGGGCTGAGCTCCAGATTGTTTGAAAGCGAGAATGTTTGCCGGTACCCACAGGAACGACTCGGGCCGGGTGTCAACTCTAGTGACAGCACTAAATCATCTTACAAAGTAAAGTAAACCAGCGAAAAAAAAGAAAAGAAAAGAAAACGAAAGAAGAAACAAGGAAGGCGCATACACAGCGCTGTTACACGTTTGTTGTTTCAGAACATGAAATCGTCCTCACCTCCGAAAGCTCTCACTCGCGTTGGCCTGTGTTGGCCATGTTGGCCTCCAAAAACTCTCACTCGCGTTGGCCTGGCAGAAGAGTCGGAAAATAACGAACCGCCACCGTCGTCGCAAGTGCAACATTCTGCCGATGGGCGCGTCACTGAAACAGGTCATTTTAACCCGCGTTTGCAAAATCGGTTATTCGCTGTGTTAGGTATAATAGTAATAAAATTAATAATATGTATTTGCAAGAGTAATGTTACCTCGAGTAGCTTGCGAGGCAAAGACAGAAAAATGACCGCATCTCCACGCGCCACGTGGTTATCCTTGTAGCCCTGGTGAATGATGTTGATTGGGGCGAAGGGGGCGAAGCTCTGGTGGTACTGATGATACTGATTTTGTTCATAGGTAGCACTGATCTCAATGACAATCGCTGGATCGCGCTTCCCCGCTTGTTCGCTGCAGCGCAAGTGAAGCCACCGGGCCTCACTCGCTTGGGATACGATTTGCCGTTTTTGCTAGCCTTTGCTGCGGTTTTCCAGCGTGCTGACGACACGTTTTCTACTCGTTCGTCGTCATTCGCCGAAGAAGTTTTTTGAAGACTCTGTGTATTGTTGAGACTTGCCGTTGTGAACACGTGGAAAATTTTACGAAAGTGCAGTGTCGCAGGAAAAAGGCACAATCCGTCGAAAGGAAGGGCTGGCGGCGTGTTCAAAGGTTCCTTGGCACGCCGAAGTGCCGTGTCTCTGTGCCTTCGCACGCTTGGATACCGACCAAGAACCGACGCCGTGTGTATGTGTTTAGCGAGTGCAATGTGCGTGAAGCTGTTCGTGCCTCTGGATCAGCGTCTTTTCCTCTCGCGGTTTAGGAACGAGCTTAATCCAGCGTCCACTAGCGACGGAAGATGGGGACAAGGTACGTCTTTTTTTCGTCCTTAGACGATTTACACAATACCGTGCACAACAGCTCCTCATCACTGATCAGTGCTGGCTTATTATCAACCTACTTAATTGCACTTGACGTTTGAGCGCGGCTCGCCTAATTGCAATTGGTCAACAGATTGCACACGACCATATCGGCCGCGCTTCAAAGATTTTCATACTCGCCGTCTTGTACTTTTGCTTTCGAAAACCCCCCTGGCTCCACAACGTTGCCCTATTCGTGCTCCCACGGAATCTATTAGAGTAGATTTGGGACATAGCCATGGTTAATATAGTACATAAGAACAGGTACATATCTCCCCCTTTTATTGATAGCAACTCACCGGAACAGCTGGACGATCCAGAACTCCGTGGCCGATATATATAAATGATCTAAAGGCATCTACGCGCGACACACGTTCAGAACTTTGGCGCGGCGTCAATTCTTGACCGGTATCCAAGCGTGCGAAGGCACAAAGATGCATCACTCGGCGTGCCAAGGAAGCATTGATCACGCCGCGACACCGGCGACACGTTTTCGACGAGTTGTACCTTTTGATACGGCTTCACGCACATTGCACTCGCTAAACACATTCACACGGCGTCGGTTCTTGGTCGGTATCCAAGCGCGCGAAGGCACAGAGACACGGCACTTCGGCGTGCCAAGGATGCTTTGAACACGCCGCCAGCCCTTCCTTTCGACGCGTTGTGCCTTTTTCCTGCGACACTGCACTTTCGTAAACTTTTCCACGTGTTCACAACGGCGAGTCTCAACAATACACAGAGTCTTCAAAAAACTTCTTCGGCGAATGACGACGAACGAGTAGAAAACGTGTCGTCAGCGCGCTGGAAAACCGCAGCAAAGGCTAGCAAAAACGGCAAATCGTATCCCAAGCGAGTGAGGCCCGGTGGCTTCACTTGCGGGAGCGGCAAGCGCGATCCAGCAATTGTCATTGAGATCAGTGATAGGTAGAGTCAGCTTCGGTCAAAGTCAAAGTCAAATTGGACGTTTGAGTGATTTATACAGCGTAAGGTTGGTCTGCCAGTAGGGGCGACACTGGTTTACACTGTAGATGAGCAATTTAGCCAGTGCAGTACAACCGCTAGCCTGGGGTCTTTAACGTGCACCACGCAGTAGTTAGAGCACTATATAGCTCCTACGGAGCAGAGTAGCGCAATCCTTTGAACCCCGTGTTTTGCCGACAACATGGCCGACAGAGCGGCTCGGCGCGAGTCACGTGGTACTTAGGGTTCCAGGAGGCGGCCCGCCCTATGGGAGAATACATGGAGATCGACATAACACGGCTGATTAAAAAACTAACGGCGAGTTCACATTTTTCAAAACTAGCCTGTCGTGAAGTTAGTAAAGCGCTAAACACTTTATCAAAGTTTTAATATTATCGGATGCGTGTGCAAATTTTGAGAAGGCAATTTCCAAGGCAATGGCGTTTGAAGCAGACGATTTTTGCTCGCAGCGGAGATGGGCTTTTCGGGTTGGCCGGAGCGGGTCACGTGAATGGTGTGACGTCGCCGTGTCGTCTGCTGCATGATTCCGCTCAGGCAATTTTTAAAAAAAAGTTACGTCCTTGTATGGCACAAAACTTATCGCATATCATTCTAAAATGTTTCATTATTATGTCAAAAATGATTTCCATTCCGCACATTCCCACAAAACTGAAGAAACAACGATTTTCTCACGTTCTCCATGCATTTCTGACCGCAGTTGGAACCTCCGGGCAGCTCCGGGCGTTCGCCGCTAGTCGCCGAGAGACGGCGTTCTAGATTGCGCTACTCTGCGCTACTCTGCTCCGAAGGAGCTATATATCAGAGCCGTATATGTAGAGAGTTTGGTCAATGGGAGGTGCGGGCAGAGCCAGGGCGTGCGGCAGACTCGGAAAGAGGGCTTGGCATGCTCTCTTGACCAACCAGAAGCCGAAAAGAATCCCCTAGCGGTGGTAGCGAGAAACAATTCTGAGCCGATCGATCATCGAAGGTCTATGTTCGTATATGGTTTTAATAAGTGCGTAAGAGTGAAGTGTAGTAACTCTCTGTGGTTGAAAATAGGGTGCACGTGTTGTTTCATCATGATCATGCAGAAAGATGTAAGAAACGAATGCGCCGCTCAGCTCTGTTTTGCGCGGACAGAGTGTGACCGCTCTGACGGCAGATTCCCGGCGCTCGGCGTTTGGCGTAAGGATTATGTCGATCTTTCCGCTAGTCGCACTCTTCCACCATCATTTCAAATGAGTGTGATTGAAACATCACGTGTACCATATTTTCAGCCATAGAGAGTTACTTTAATGCAGTTATCAGGTTTGTTTCTTGCGACCACCGCCAGGGTATTATTTCCGGCTTCTGGTTGGTCACATTCGAATTTCTGAAGACGCCCTGGAACACGCCCAGCCCGCTTTCGGCCTATGGCGCCGCTTCATTTGTCTCCTATACTTCCCAACGAATGGCCAAACTCTCTACATATACGGCTCTGCTATATATATAGTGCTCTAGCAGTAGTAATACACGACCGCACGCCGGTACCTGGCCGGTACGATGCTCATCCAGATCGAAACGGGCAGGGGTGGGGCTCGAGCCCAGGATGCCCACTGCCCAGGATCCCTGGGTTCGGCAGCGTGAGCTCAGTGTTGCCAACCGTAGGGTAATTACCCTACTTGTAGGGTATTTTAGGCATTTATGGTGTATTGTAGGGCTGTAGGGCCGTCCGGCCATTTCCCCGTTAAAAGTAGGGTATTTTCAGACGTTGCTTCTTCAACGGCGAGCATAACAAAAAAAAGAAAAAAAGCTGCCGCGCAAGTCTTGCACAGCTTTACAACCCGTGTACTGCCACACCACAACATCATGCAAAACGAAAGAATCCAAGTTGCAAGACGTGCTAACTGAGAGCACCACACACCAAGTTGGAGTATGCACGCTCCCTAAGTTGGAGAGTATTGGGGAGCTGGAGCAAGTGGGACAGGTGGGAGGAGCTGGGGTTGCGCTTAGGAAGTTTGGAGCCAGAAGAGGTATCTTCCCAGTGAAAATGGTCCCGCCAATTTTTTTTTCTGATGACTGGGTGTCCATACCGCTTGAGCGAATGATGTTTTAGCGAACAGCGACATTTGAGCGAATCGACGTTGTAGCGAATAGCGGGGGCCGCGCTGCGCTTACGCCGTTTCGCGCGACAGTCTGCGGCGGCTCATGACAAAAATGTGCACCCATTTGGCCCACCCGAAAAGGCGCCACTTCGCGGTGTCCGACTATTCGCTAAAGTGTCATTCGGTAAAACGTGGGCGTTCGCTAAAACGTCATTTGATCAAGTGAGTGCATCCCGGGGGCTGGAGGCGTTCACTTGAGCGAACGACGTTTTAACGAACGAAGCCGAAACAATGACGTTTCATCGAATGACATTTTAGCGAATACGGAGGAGCCGCCGGTTTCCTCTCCTCCCCTGGTGTAAAAGCCTAGTTGGTCGAAATAGTACCTTAGTTTGACGAATCCCTAGGCACCCAAAGAAGCTAATATACCATTCGGATTAGCTTCCTTTTGTAATGAGCCACCTTGTCTGACGCCGCGAGTGTTGGTTCCACGTAGCCCAGTTTTTAATTTCATGACAAATCGACTGTTGGTTGGGGATGTCTGTGCGCTCGCTACATCACTGTTGTGCTGATGCTACACAGCGCACATGCAAGCATGGTGTTCTAGAATAACACAGGTATGCGCGTGCATGGGTGCCCTGTCGCTTTGTACTGTATTAATACTACCCTGTAGCATCATAATCCATGCAACAGTATTATTTGAACAAAGATTTGCCTCGTAGGGTAAAACGTAGGGTAATAAGAAACATTCGTAGGGTAATGTAGGGTATTCTGGACGCTGCCGTGGGGTATTTTCGAAAAATAGGTTGGCAACACTGCGTGAGCTTTCGCTCCACGCGCGTCGAGCTGGGTGTGCGCTTCAGCCCACTCGGCCACCGATCCCCTCAGCTTCGGTCCAGACGCAGCCGATGCTACAAGCGTGAGCATGTGGCCCAGAACAGTGCTTGCACTGCACGAGCGCGCGTGCTTGGCAGGGATGTTGAAAGCGTTGAAAGCCCGGAGCTCGCGCTTGTAGCTTTGGCTGCGTCTGGACCGAAGCTGAAACAAAGTAGTCCTAATCACTGTCCTAATGGTGCTGATTTTTTTTTTTTTTTTTTTATTGTTGCTCA